TATGTCAGCCTTGTAATGCAGATCCGTAACCTCGTAGTTGTTGCTTACTGCCACGTTCACTGCTTTCCCACTTTGGGCAACAGTCGTGAGTGGCCTGACCACGCAGCCATGTAGCAAGAAGTTTTTATTTCAAACAGAACAAGAAAACCTGTTCTCTAGTCCATTTTTTAATGTCATTTCCAGGTCGAACTGTCAAATAACAGTAAGAAAGTCCTTTACATTCTCAGACTGCAGTTCCATAGGAGAAAGTGATAGTGGTGGGTGGCTGGGTAAAAACCTTGAAGATCTGCTGATGAAAAGTGTTAGGTGGATACTAGGAACAGGAGATGGACCTTATTTCGTACTACGTTATGGATCTGATGTTTTTATTATTTACTAAATGCTGTAGAAAGATGAGGATTATCAAACATTCAGAAGTCTTGAAAATGTTCTCAAAAATAAAGCTTAAAGTTAGGGAAAGTAACATTTTCTGTCTCTTCATCTTTTGTGTTTTAAAAACTGCTGTTGCTTCATATTTTCAAAATTTGTCATTAAAAGCATGTATCGTCTTACACAGTATTTGTCATGCTGAATATTTACTGTTAATAAAATCAAGGGAAAATTGTGCTTATATATCCATCCGTATTTTTTTCTTTCATTGATTGAAAGCCTAGACAAATATTACTAAAAATGGTCTGCTTAAAGTTTGTTTCCAGTTTCAAGAATTCCTTTTGCAAAGCCTAAGTGTATGGCTGAGATGTTTTCTAACTTTTAGTGGAAATATATGGGCTTTCTTTGACAGATAGATGAGACAACCCATATTGCACCTTTTTACTAGAGCAGGAGTACCTGAAAATTGAGGTGGATGAGAAAGTGAAAGTGAGAACTTGTCTGGATACCAATGTGAAAGCAAGGTCTAGGTCTTTGTTATCCAGGTACAGAGAAATCCACGTTTTGAAAAATGTATTCCATGGCAGTAATGTTGATTAGATGAAACTCACTTGATTATTTTTTCAAAACCTATGAAATGAGGCCTTTTTAGTACTGGTATTAAGTGGCATAGTTCCCTAGTCCTTACCAATTTGCATCACTTGAGAATCTGTCTCTTCAATATTTAATTTACTGACCTTTATGTTGTGGTGAGACAAATTACTTTTTCATGACTGGACGTATTTGCGTTATAAAATAAAACCAGTGTCTATGCTGCCAGGGAGCTACTTGGTTTATAAATACAGCCTTTGTTGAGAAATGCATATTAAGAATTAAAAATATTTAATTGACCTACTTTTTTATTTTCAGGGTTGTGTCCTTTGTTGTGACCTCATGGTTTAACTGGGAATAAAGATGAGTATAAGCAGTGATGAGGTTAACTTCCTGGTATATAGATACTTGCAAGAGTCAGGTGAGTTTTCACAATTCTGGTTGTTAAATAATGTGTAATTTATTTGGTATTCATCTGCAACTGGCTTTAGCAAACCTGGACTCATTTAATTATTTTGCCAGTAGGCATGTGCTTCTGTCTGAACTGTTTCTTGGTGTTTTTTCTCAACAAGAGAATGAATTTCTGCCAAGTTACCTGCTATAACTTAATCAGATTTAGTCATTTGGAGTCTTCAGATGGCAGTCAACCAACCAAGGACTCATTTGATTGCTAGAAATGCATTTTCCTGGAGATCACTTATCTACAGGATGATGATGATACTTCACACCATTTTCTTTGGGGCTGCGTGAGGAAGAAAAAAGGATGACCACCAAAATACTGTTTTTTCCTGTTCTGCCTTGGAGTGATGGTGCTCCTGTGAGCTGCTCTTTGCATGGCTGAATTCCTTTCCCCAATGTGACTGTGGAGGAGGGCAGATACTGCTGTATTTCAAAGGAAGAAGTGGCAACTGTGATGTGTAACTTGTATCATTTGAATCTAAGTACAGATAACAGATTTTTCTTGCAAGAATAGCTCCTGGGTTCTCAAAATCCTTTCTTCCTGCAGGAGACTTTCTTGGAGGATTTTGCCCTTTGGTGTCAGGCTAGCCAAAGCTTCTTGCTTCTTAGGAATAAGAGCCAGAGATGGTTGAATACTGTCAAACTTGAAAAGAAACTTTTTTCCTGTCATATTTGTCCAAACTGACTGTGTCTGGAAAATACAAGATAGAATGCAGTAGTGTTCCCTTCGACAGTCTATTTTTAAAACTTGCCAAACCCTGTTGGATGAGCAGTTTGTGTTGCGTGTTTGGGTATCTAGATGTAGCCATACGATTGCAGAGGGGTTTGTGGTGGTGGTTGGTCTTGAAGAGACAACATTAAGGTTGTAAGAGACAACATTGTCTTTTACTTACAGCTATTATACCAATTGCCTAAAGCAGCTTACATTTAGAACAGGTGGATTTGACTGGTAATCAGAGCATGCCCCAGTAAATGAACAAGCCATGACTGTCAGTTGGCAGAAGGGGATATGACCTTAGCAATACACAAAAAAAGTCAGCATATCAAAGTGAAACACCCCCACACCTCCCCCAAGCCAATCTAAGGTAACAATGTAAGGACCACCTTTAATGGATATGTTACCTCGTTGTTTCAACATCTACTGTTTCTTAGTTTTGTTCAGTGATTGATGAGTGGCTTCAGGGTTCTTGAAAATGTGTTTGACTGATGTAACATCTGCACACTGCTTATGTACACTGCTCATGGATTTCCCAAACTGAGCCAAAGCAGCACGAGGAACAATGGTGGACAGCAGAGTTTTTCAGTCTCTGCTTGTCACAGGAAAGCAGAAGCTGATTGTTACGCTTGAATTTACTGAAAACTATTACATGTTCTTATTCTTACTGCTCTTATTACAGAAGCCAAACTTACAAAATTGCTTTATCATCATTTGAAAGTTTGCAGTCAGCTTCTTAGTTACCTGACAGAAAAAATAACAACCAAACCAAAACAAGCACATCAAAGTAGTTTAAGAAAAAAATTCTGTGTCAGTAAAGTTAATTTGCTGAAACAACTGTTTTTCTCTAGGTTATATTTTCCTTTTCAGGATGAGCAAATAAACAACAGGCACAAGAAGTGCTGCACCATAGCATGCCTGCTTCTTCTCAATCAGTGCGCAATATTGGCGTAGTTCGAAGTGCCAAAACATACACAACTATGACAAAACTGTACCATGAATGGAATTCTGTTCTACACACAGATCCATTTCATTTTCATGCGTAACAAATCAGTGAGTGTAAATAACAAATGAGTCTTAGTGTATTGGAGATACCTATTTTATTAAATACTACACATGATACAATATATATATAGTTTGAGAATATGTAAGTATATGTAAATGCTATCACAAATTGTGGATTTTGTGTTTTTGTATGTAGTGACTCAGAAATGTTTTGCCAATGATACTGTAATTAATAACTGCTGTGTTTATATATAAATTTTGTTGTTTGTTTTTTTTTTACATTTAAGCTAAAAAAACATAAGGGAAACAACAGAGGTGTTTTGATGAGGTTTTTTGTAGTTCGTAAACATGCTATAACTTTGAATAATTTGCATAGGTTTGTAAACAGAAGATCCTGCAGTGGTGTGGCAAGTAGCATGGCCTATAAATCAATTATGATGTCTTTGCCTTGTCTTTAGGGTTTTCCCATTCAGCATTTACCTTTGGTATAGAGAGCCATATCAGCCAGTCTAATATAAATGGTGCTCTGGTGCCACCAGCTGCTTTGATTTCCATCATCCAGAAAGGTCTGCAGTATGTAGAGGCAGAAGTCAGTATTAATGAGGTAAGGAGGCTTTGCCTGCAGCAGCATTATGTCCTTGCTTGCAGTAAGTTTGAATGTTAGTATTTTTTCTTAACTTTCTTGTATCCTATTTATTTACTTTTACTTCAGATTCCTTACTGCTGGTGTTCACCATGACTCCAGTGGTGGAACCAGAATGGACTGACATAACTGGGTAGGGGTTCTGCCCAGTGCAGCCACACAACACCAGGCATGGTGTTCTGGCTCATTGCTTAAAGGTCCGTTGTCTGTAGAGTTTTTACCCTAATATATTGTTTTAGTAAATCCAAACAAGTGCAATAAGATAATCACTGAGACAAGTAACCTCTTAATTTTTATTTTCATAGACTTTCACTAGGGAGGTTGGAGAGCACTACGCAGCTCTCATTTAGGTGATGTGTCATTATAATGAAGTAATGAGAGCCCAAAGGCAAGGTTTCTGGATAGAGAGGGGTTTTTAATTTGTGGCAGGAAGGATGAAGGTATATGCCAGTTTGCTTTTTTGCCTCTGCTGGCTAATTCATCTTTAGTAGGATCTATTAAATTTGTTGTTTAAATGGTTATTCCAACAATACAGAAAGCTATGTGTCTTCCTGCCTGATGGTGCAGATACTCGCCGTCAGTTTTCATTCTCATTTATGCCTGGAAGGTTAGCAGCCTTTGTATGTGTCAGTTGTATTACAGAAGGAAACTGCTTTTTTTTTTTTTTTTTTTTTTAACTAATTCTGCTCTCTTTCCAGTCTCCTTTATGTCTGCTGTTTATGTGTATTTTTCATAGTCCCAGTGAAGCAAGTCTTCTCCCTTAGGAAGCCTCAGAAAAATAAAGCAAGTGATTGGAATAGAAGGGGACTCTGTATTTATTGCAAGGAATCCTTCTAGCTCCTAAAAATAGATCCTTACAAAGCCCTAGCATATGTATCATGGTATTTTTAACTGGGTCTTGTCCATTTCAGGATAAAATTCTTCCTTGTTATTTGAAAGCATGCCAGCACAGTTTAAAAAAAGGAAGAAAACTAGTCAACTTTCCAGATAATATGTTTATGGAAAGTATTAGTCTAATAGATAGAATAACTTCACAAGCCACTGACCAGGCTTGCAATGTTCGGCAGCTCTTCAAACAAACCATTAGATTTTGTTGTGGCTGCTCATGTTTGAAATCATATTCATAGAGAGCTTTCAAAATTTTTTGCTTTAGCAGACTACTTAGCAAACTTGAAGCATGTAACCTTTGATTCCAGAAGTTCTGCCAGAGGCCTGCAGTGCCTTTTTTGCATATTTATGGTGGCGACTTTAGACTAAAATTCCAATCCTAACCACAACAGTGATGGAATATCACCATTTGTAAACTGTTTTACTCTGTTAAATCAAAACTTCAGATTTATTTTTCCTTGGAGTTTTTTCCCATAATGTTAATTTGTACTTGGTGTTGTCTTTTTTTTTCCCTCCCTCTGCTGTTATTTAGGATGGTACCTTGTTTGATGGTAGGCCGATAGAGTCTCTCTCACTGATAGATGCAGTAATGCCTGATGTGGTACAGACAAGACAACAGGCCTACAGAGATAAACTTGCACAACAGCAGGCAGCAGCTGCTGCAGCCGCAGCAGCAACTAACCAACAGGGATCAGCGAAAAATGGAGAAAATACTGCAAATGGAGAAGAGAATGGAGCACATACTATAGCAAGTAAGTTGAGACAGAAATGACCTTAACCTATGTTAACATCATTCTCTTATCATTTGTCGTAGTACAAGCTCATACTATGAGCTAGTAGACAGAGGTAAATGTGTAGAGGTACTAGTAACACTTCATCTTGCAGACAATGCTTTGTCATAGATGATACTTTAACAGATGGTGTGTCTCCTTTGGCTGTCCCTAGTTTGACATGTGGCAGAAGGAGATGCAGACTTCTAAATTCACTAATTCACAATATTCCTTTGACCAGTCTCACTTCCAGTACTGCTCCTTTCCCACCATCTGAAGGTTTTTCACAGGACGCTGTGAGAGCTTTTGTATAAAGGGGGTGGGGAGAGGGGAGGAATCAGAGACAACTTTTTAAATATTATGTTTTTCCAGCTTTGGCTGTACAAGGAACAAGGAGAGTTTACTAATACATTCTGAGCATTGCTTGTGAAGCTCTGCGAACTTGCTTTTGATGGGTTCTGCTAATCCTGTGCATTGGAGAGCAGTAACTGGCTCTCTGTAGGACAGGCCTCCTTGACAGGCTGAAATCATCATGGCTGCTAAGACAAGTCAGTCCTGTGTCATTTGTCTCCTTTATCAGTATCAATTTTCATGATTTACTATTCAGAATTACTCAATGCAACTGCTTGCAGGTTTGGGTAATTCACTGGTTTCATTTTAATTGTGATTCCTGAAACAAGATGTGTCGTCACTGGTCAAGGGAACATATCTTACAATCAAGCTTAGTACAGAAAAGTTCTGGTCAGGCATTAAAATGTGATTTTGAAAAATATTGTTCTGCAAGTTATTGAATTATGTATATGAGAGGAGCTACAGCTTTTGGTGTAAGAGCACCTGGAGAAAAGAGATCTTTTTGAGAGAATATTCATGTCAAGCCATGTCCGAGTTTTGCATTTTACAGCTGGATTTCATTTTTTTTTTCCCTTATTCTATATGATAAATAAACTGGAAACATAATCCTTATTTAAAAAAAATAAGCTTTCTGCTTTGATGTTTTCATTTAAAAATCTCAAAGGAATTTTTATTTGTTAACTGTAAACTGGATAGAATAGGTGTAAATTTCAGATCTTAGCCACTGTTAAATGTGATTCCAGCAACCCCTACTGGCTGCTACACCAAATTATACTGGCATTGATTCTCTTAAATTGAAGAAATGTTTTTTATATGGTGCTCTTTCTTTAAAATATGCATGTTCTCATAGCCTTTTCTGTTTTTTCACACATACAAACAGCAACAGAAACCCTTAATATTAAATTAAGCAATAGATGTGAAATGGTTTGTTTAACCACGGTGAATAAATACAGAGCAGGTGAACTCTTCAGCATTTTTTATATTTTGCATTTATACTAGTGTGAATTTATTTTTAATAGAAAATTATTGATGGTAGCTGCCAAGAAAACTGTTTTGTCAGTTGAAGTACCCCCAGTATGTTTTGCAGAACTATGGATTCAACATCACTTCCACGCAGAAAGCTATGTATTGCCACAATTCCACCGTAATTGCCGATGCAGTTTAAAAAGCTCTGTTATCAGTTTACCGTATCACCAAATGTTATTATATTAATTAAAGCCATTTTGTAAATGAAGTGTCTTGAGATGTTGATTTAAAACCTGTTTAACTGCAGTTGGTGAAAAGAGAGAGTTTTGAAAGCGAATGTGTCATAAACGTATTTTTAAATAGACAGACTAGTAACATATTGTAGTATGCAGTATTGTGCCTGAAAAACTGTGAGTACTTTTAATATCAGCATTTATTCTTTCACATAGCAAAGAATTAACTTTTGGCCTCAATTTTAAAGTTTCAAAACTAAATCCATTTAGATGCTGACATTTAGAAGGGCTAAGAGCTTTCTCGCATTTTTGAAACATTCCATCTGTTTATAGTAGTTCGTAAATAAAAATAAAGGAACATTACAGCTTTGTCAACATTTGATCCATGTGAATTGTGAATTAATTGTTAAGTTCATCCTGGAAGAATATGAACCATACAGCAGTTACAGTGTATTGTCCCAAAATATTAAAATCCACCTCTCTCTACTGTTGTTTCCCATAATGCAGATAATCATACAGATATGATGGAAGTAGATGGAGATGTTGAAATCCCTCCCAACAAGGCAGTAGTGCTGCGTGGCCATGAATCTGAAGTATTCATCTGTGCCTGGAATCCTGTTAGTGACCTTTTGGCCTCAGGGTATGTGCATTAACCATGTATGTACATAATATCAGTTCTCATTGGCATACTTTTGTATGTTGGTGGTAACAAGTTAAAATAATACTTGTCCTAACACTCTCTACATCAAATACCACAATGCTTGCTATTTTGAAAATAGTGCTTTTTTTAATGGAGTTAGTTGGGAGAAGGAGTTATATTCTCATTAACTGTTTTGCAGATCTGGAGATTCAACAGCACGGATATGGAACCTCAGTGAAAATAGCACAAGCGGCTCTACACAGCTGGTACTTCGACACTGTATACGAGAAGGAGGGCAGGATGTACCCAGCAACAAAGATGTGACATCGCTGGATTGGAACGTGAGTAGAAATGACAGTGCTCAAAATACTCCCAAGAAAATTGTACCTATAATTTTGCATAGTCAAATTTTAAGTGACAGCAACTCTGCATGCTCTGCTACAGTTCCTGAAATATTTCTATTTTTGAGTTACATTGTAATTTCTTGTATTATGCTTTGGGGACTATTTAGTAAGTTGTAGTCAATGGAACGAATATTGTAAGTAAATCTTATGCATTTACTTTGTGTCATACAGTAAAAATTAATAAAATAACCTTTTTTCTGGCAGAGTGAAGGTACACTTCTAGCAACTGGGTCTTACGATGGCTTTGCAAGGATATGGACTAAAGATGGTAAGTGAAATACTTTTAATTTCCAGTATATTTTCCTGTATTGTGGCTCACAGCATAGTTTTTTATTTTTTTAATGTATTCATATCAATATAAATTTTCAGGTAATCTTGCCAGCACCTTAGGGCAACATAAAGGTCCTATATTTGCGTTAAAATGGAACAAGAAAGGAAACTTCATTTTAAGTGCAGGAGTGGACAAGGTGAGATGATCTTTGGTAAAATTAAAATTCTTTCCTTCACCGTTATAATCTAATTGTAAACATAATAGCAAAGCAATAGAAAGTAAGTAAATGAAACTAAAGGCAGGGGATGTAAATATGACTTACAAAGAACTTGTAATGCTAGCAAGCTTCCTTGTGTTATATAGTAGTTTATTGAGATATTTTAATTTATTAGATTTCAGTGTCCCTAGATCTCTTCCCAATGAGGTTAGCGTAAGTTGGGAAGTAAGAGCATTGAATGCAGGAACATTAAACCTTTATAAAACCAAATCATCTAAAATTTGGTGAAGCACTTTATGAAAGCCTCAGAAAAACAATTGTACTGGAGGAATAGTTTAGGGCTGATTTCGGGTATCAGTCAAGCCTGACAATGATTATAAAGGTTAAAGCTGGAACGTAAGAAAAGTCAATATATCCAACTAGGGAGGTGCCAGTAGTGTAATGCCATGAAGCTCAATGATAACTCTGTTTTATTTCACATCTCTAAACAAACTTAGACTCACACAGTCTTTAAATTCAAAGCCTTTGTCAGCATAGGAAATTTTATGAATGGTAGGAAAGGCACCTAGTGACGAAGAATAGAGTTAAGATGAATTTAAAGGATAGAACAGACTATTCAAAGAGTTAAGAAGAGTTTTGTTTTCCCTTTGTAACTGATTCAAAGTGCAGAAGTAAACACGGGCTTTCTCCTAGTGAGACTGGCAAACTACAAGATCAGTAAGACCACAGGCCCACACTACATAAAACTGGCAGTGTCACTGTGAAGTAGTAGATTTTTCTCCTTCATTTATTACTTTCTTACCTGCACACATTTAGCATGGTTTACTTTAGTGCCCAGCTTTATAAATGCTAGTGCTGGCACAAAGGTAGAAAAAGTAAATGTCTCAAAGCATAGAAAGGATGGTTTTCTTCTTTTGGCAGCTGTGATGTCTTATGCCAATTTTTAAATCTTTGTGGAGGTATTCTGGAGGAGATAAAAGCCTTGTTTCAGTCACTAAAACTGAGCACCTGAGATTATGCTTTGAGAAATAGTCTGCATTAGCAAAAAAGATTGACCCAACCTTATGCTGCTTTTCCATTAATAATTTGTATGGTCAGTTCATGCTTCCCCTGAATTCAGTGTCAAAATTCTCACTGATGAGGTAGGTCAGGATTATTGGCATATAATCTAGTGATTATAAAATACTAATTTTGTCATGTAAAATTTCTTTCATCAGAAGGATATCAGAAGTATTGGCAGAGAACAAGTCAGAACAAAATTCAACCCTTAAATCTTTCAGATTCTTAAGTATGAGACTGTTTATGTAAAGATCTCCTTAGGAACAAATGAGTATTTGAAATTATAATTTGAATATACAAGTATTTGAAATTAAAATAGGTGTGTGGAGTGGATTATAAGAATATAATTAGGACTAAAGAAATGAATCTACTTGATTTTTGTTTATTAATTGAAAAAAAAAGCCCACAATCCCCTTCTTCCCTTCAGACCCCAAAATGTTGTGACTAAACGCTTTTCTAATATTGCATTATACTAAGGTTTTCTACTCCTGTGTGTACCTTTACTACCATTTCTTAAGTACTGGGTAAAACATTAGAAACACATAATCAGGAGATCAGGAACAGATAAGGGCAATTGCAAGCAGGCTAGGTAGTCTGATACATGTGAATGGTGGTAGTTGTGGGAAAATTAGCAATTTGTGTAAGTTTATTTATTATTTATTTATCTGTTTAATACAGACCACAATTATTTGGGATGCCCACACTGGTGAAGCCAAGCAGCAGTTTCCTTTTCATTCTGGTAAGTCTTGATTTTGATCATTCAGGATTATCATCTAAAAAGATGAAATAAGTGAAGTCTATGGTGTTTAGTTACACCCTTTTGAAGTCTAACAGGCAGTCTTTGGATACTGACTCCCATATTCATAATCTTATAAATTCTGAGATTGTAAATAAAGGTAGAATTTTTCTGATTTAATAACTTTGTAACTCACAATTTTATTACAGTTCTATGAAAGTCATAAGAGATAACCCAATTATTACTGACTTTTTGTAGTACAGTGGCAGACAAATTAAGTGGGTGGGCCACAAAGGATTTGTGTTTATCAGATAAGGGCTGCATTTGTCATCTCCCTGCTACAGTAATCCCAGCTCCGTATCCCATTGTTCTGTGTTGCCTGCTGTGCTGCCCACAATTTGTTTAGCCACAAACCAGCTGAAAGGCTGTTCACTGGCCAGCTGGGATAAGAGTGTAGCACCTCAGGAGGTCAGGCAAATTGCTCTGTGGGCTGCGTGCTGTGCAATCCTGCCAGAATCAGATGGAAAATAGAATAGAGAGGATGACGAACACATCGTTGAAGGGCCTTCAAAGGATGTGTCTCATTTCCACTTTTTATTCCACTCATACTACATTTTCAGTGGTATGACAACAATCAAAAACCTCAATTCTTGATGTACTCCGAGCAATTCTGTGTGTTATCGGCCATAAATATCTTGGCTTGATCAAATGGAATATGTTGCCCATGATTAAGCTTCAGGTTACCACACCTTATAGTGCTGGAATTAAGAAAGGAAATAAATCATTACCTTTCACTGGCTGCCATCTATCAGCACAAGCATGGACTGTGCGTAGAGATAAGCTTATGCATGGTGATGCATTAAGTTGTGTTAACCTGTTCCTCTTGCTGACTCGTGTGATTTATTTATAGGTGACTTAACTGCAGCTCGTTGTCCTGCTGTACTGTCTTCCGTATGACTCTTTCGTTTCAGATATGTTCCATGTTTTAGTGACTTCTATTAAATTTTGTTTCATTTCTTTGTGTAAGACTGGTTTTGGCTGCATTTCTCACTGTTCATAGTGTTTGATTATCTTCAGAACTGCTGTAATATTAATGGCTGCTTCCTGTTGGCATTTGTTCTAAGGTGGTCCATGCTAAATTTTCAAATTAAACTCATGCAGAATACACAGTATAGTTTTAAATATCTTTGTTTTTCTTTTAGCACCAGCATTAGATGTCGATTGGCAGAGTAACAACACGTTTGCCTCTTGCAGTACAGACATGTGTATTCATGTCTGTAAACTAGGACAAGATAGGCCCATCAAAACCTTCCAGGGTCACACAGTAAGTACTGGAAAATTGGGGTGTGCTATATATTTTTATTAATAAGAGATTGGGGGCCATGTATACTTGCCAGTATACAGCGCTAGTGCAATGGTTGGTCTGTGGCAACAGGCAATAAATACACATAGGCAGGTAGTTGTAGTTAAGGTCATATGGTAACTGTAGTCTCTGTCATTAGTAGAAGAATTCTGACTCCCATGTGCAGCTTTCTTTATCAGTGCCAGGATGGCATAGCAAAAGTGAGCTTCAGAAGAAGAAACACTTTAAGGCTTTGCTATGCACAGCCAGCGTTGTGTAAGAGCATGCACGGGAAAATAATGCTTATACCATGATGAACTTCAGTAACAGTTCTTCTTGTTGCAGGCAAAGCTAGGAATGAAAATTACATGTTGAAATATTGACAGTTATACAAATACTCATAACTGCTGTCCAGCTTTATCTTTCATAAGCTATCATTTGTAATGGAAGTGAAGACTCCAACTTATTCTCACTGTTCAATTTTAGAATGAAGTAAATGCAATCAAATGGGATCCAACTGGTAATCTTCTGGCATCCTGCTCTGATGATATGACTCTAAAGGTAACAGGAGTTCTGGTACTGACTCTTGTCTTTGCAGGACTCTGAAATGCAAAGCATTAGCTTGGGGAATCCAGCAGTATCGCTGTTCTTGCTGTGTCATCTAATATTTGTTCTTTTTTTAATACAACAAGGTTAGGCAATCCTATCAAATCCTTGCCAATCAGAGCCAAGCTTTGGTCCAAAGAACTTGTTACAGGCTGCCACCCTGAGACTTGAAGCATGATTTATTAGGTGCTTTTAGCTGTTTACAGAATTGGGTCATTAATCATTAAGCTGTCACACTTGATAGTTACTTTTGGTTAAAAGGAAGAGTTGGAATGCATACAAGTTGTGTACCACATACAAGAATGGGTGACTAGCCCCCTTCCTGGTTTTCTTTATTTTCCCCTTCTTCTTAGTTAAAATCTTTGCTGTGTTGTTTCTTAAGAGACTGTGTGTTCTCTTTGGTTTTTTTCCAGTTCACTGGGAGCAATTTTACAGTTAGTTGCCCCTATGCTTTTCCTCCAAAGAATTCATAGCAACATGCTTTCTTGTAGAACTAGGGCAAACTCATGAGTGTAGAGGTATTGTAACTTATACACATGACTTCAAAGCCCATTAAAGATCCATACAAAAATCCCACCAGGTTAGATACACTGGAAGAAATGAGGTGGTTTGTGCCTGAAAGGCCTGTGCTGTTTCCATGGTACAGATGTTTTCCTATTACTCACATGCTGCTTTGCATTTAGTGGGTGTTTTAGCACTATGTTAGGTCAAGTTTCAGGATACTGTATTTCCTATTGACAGTGCTGCCATGCTAGTAGCCCTTGGGACAGTTACTTCCATCCAGCTCACCACTGTTCAATCAGAGATAGGGAATGGCTGAATGAGTAGCCAGATATCCCCTCGTCTGCTGGCACATGGTCAGCTTCTTGCAATGGAAATCACCTTATCTAAATATTAAGCTAGATGTCTAGACATGTTTAATCCACAGAGTGTCTAGCACCACTGGAGAATAGTTCATCTTTTCCTTAGTTAAGTGTCTAAGTCAAGTGTGATGAGTAAACCCCTGAGAGCATCAGTTGTTCTCCTTTGGCAATGGATAGAGTCAAAATAGCCAGCTTAAGCAAGATATTTAATACTTAGCTGAAAATCAGGTGGGAGATATTCCAGTCTAGAGCTCAAGGTGTTGCTGCTGTCTCTCAGTGAGTAGAGAGGTGACAATTGGGAACATGTCGCTATTTGTGGGCTCAGGCAATTCAGGCAATTAACTTGGTTGCCTTTTTGAATTCAGCCCAGATTGGAAAGAATTTTATCATTTTATTCAGCATTATCTGGAAGACCAATTGCTTGTAGATAAGTTTACACATCACTTATCACTTGTGGACCACTTACTTTTCAATGGCAGTAGCAATGAATGTCAGGGTTTGAAGCATATGGGAGTTGATCAATTGACTGATTTGTGTATTTTTCTCTCATGTGCTGCCAACTTGAGGCTCTCTAGGGCAACTAATATGGACTCCTTCTATCTCTACTAACTTTGGAGACGCTAGATTTTGATCCTATCAATTTAAACTGGAAACACAATTTTAATTCTGTCTGCACATTGAAAATCAATTTCCCCTTCAGTGAGGCACTAGTTCTGAAGAGTATCATTCATTTAAACATACCCCTCAATTGTATCTTAAATACTGATGGGCTTAAACATGCCTCTCTCAGCTTTTTTCTAACGAAAGGTGAGCTACAAGCACTACTGAAACATATCAGAAAAAAAAGCATTCAGATGGTTAGCTACCATATCAAGTTTCACATTTAGTAAAAGATATAAAAGTCTTCCAGAATCTTTTCTGTAGTGGCAATGTAAACCCTTAATAGAATAAAGTTATTTTGCTTGTTGAAGGTTATCATGAAGGAGTTGCAGTCCTGAGGAACTGTGTGAAGTACTGTACAAACACCTAGAAATGCAAATCCAAAAAAACCAGGAAAATGCTATAATGGGTTTTGCAGTATGTTTCTATAGCTTTGTATGGAAGCAGAACATTTATTTCCTATACCTTTATGTCACTCAGTCTGTGTAGCTACAAGTTCATTTAAAAATAAGACTGTGATGTTTTGTCAATTCAGATATGAACATATACACATTGCTCTTCTCATTTTAGCATCTGTTCTTATCCCTGCACTTTTCAAGAGGCTTGTAGTTAACACGTGCAGATTGGTTTCTATAAACAGTACCTTTACTACTCATTAACCCCATCAGGTACTTACATCTCAAAGAATGGAGGGTACTGGAATAATCATAGAATGGTTTGGGTTGGAAAGGACCTTAAGATCATCTAGTTCCAACCTCCCTGCCATAAGCAGGGACGCCTTGCACTAAACCATGTCAGCCAAGGCTCTGTCCAACCTGGCCTTCAGCACCACCAGGGTTGGAGCATTCACAACTTCCTAGGGCAACCCATTCCATTACTTAAGAAACCCGGTAGTCATAGCAAATGTTTTGAGTGGCCTAAAAAGCAGCAGTCAGGCTGCAAATGATAAAGAAGAAAGTATTTTACTACAATATTGTGATAAGTGTCTTTTGTGTTCTCTTTCATTTTTATTGTAGATCTGGAGTATGAAACAAGACAGTTGTGTCCATGATTTACAAGCACACAACAAAGAAATTTATACTATCAAATGGAGTCCTACAGGACCAGGAACAAATAATCCAAATGCCAATCTTATGTTAGCCAGGTACTATTTAATCCTGATTTTACATGCCTCTTAAACATCATTTTTACTTCACTCTTTATATATGTAGGTTCACAGAATGTTTTGAAGCATGTAGGATACTTAATCATATTGTGTTTGTATTAGTAACAAAAATATGTTGAATCGAGATGTTGATTAATCTTTGTTTTTTCCTTGGCAGTGCATCCTTCGATTCTACTGTTAGGTTATGGGATGTAGACAGAGGAATTTGTATTCATACTCTGACAAAACATCAAGAACCTGTGTACAGTGTAGCTTTCAGTCCTGATGGCAGGTACCTGGCCAGTGGCTCCTTCGATAAATGTGTACACATCTGGAATACACAGGTATAGCTCTGTTTAGAAGTCTGTGTTTTGGTCTTTTCCATCAGCACCCTTCCACCATGTTTTGGCCACAAAGAGCTTAGCCATTCCTAACACCCTGCTTCGCTTTCTGTTTGTTCTAATGTTATTTCTGTTAATGGTTGTACACTTAATTTATCTCTTTGAGTGTTTGTCTATGGTGAAGCAATAATTGCATTTACATTGTCTTTACTTAGAAGAAAAAACAACAATCAAACAAACCCCACAAAACCCCCAACCCAAACAAACAAAAAACCCTAACAACCAACCAAAACCACACCACCTCCAAAAGACACATTTGGCAGTGTTTCCAATAGCACGTTGCATCCAAAAATTGTCTTTGTTAGCTCTGAACTTTAAAGTCCTGATAACAGTTTTTTCTGTGAAAAGTGATGACTAGGTGTAGACATACAAATCTGATAGCTATTTCGTTGAATTTCAAGGAAAATAAGGGAATGTAAAGTGAGAGAAGACAATGGTGACAGAATGTAACTTTCTTAGAAAGGACACTGTTATTGGCTTTGCATTTTAGGCAAAAAGAGAAAAAAGGGCTGATTGCAAATGAAAATCTAGAGACCTTTTTGTCAGATAATGCGTGATCTCTGGCTGCTGGGAATTAATTGGATATTAATTTTTAAAAGTTTTATTTTTTAGTAATTGGAAGTAGTCATAGCCATCCTCAGTTTTGCCTGTCAAACATGAGATCAAGATACAGTAATTGTTGGTCATGTCCTTTAACACAGTGCTGAGATTATCCACAAGTCTCATCTGTATCATTTCCTCTGAGAATTTCAGCCTTTAAAAGCCATGAGAGAGTTTTACATGTTATAGAAATCTTAATTGTTTGCTTGGATTTTATTAATTATATTAATTACATGTTTTGTCCCTTTTTAGACAGGTGCCCTAGTTCACAGTTACCGGGGAACAGGAGGGATTTTTGAGGTTTGCTGGAATGCAGCAGGAGACAAAGTTGGAGCAAGTGCTTCAGATGGTTCAGTAAGTGTTGGTTGACTTGGTCGACATTCTAACAACCAGCGTCTTCTGTTAGTCAAAAGATTTCCAATGGAGACAAGATTTCTTTCTGTAGCTGAAGTTCGAATGCAGTCAGCTCACCTGTAGATTTTGCCTGTAAGAGTTCAGTAATGTTGTAAGGAGAATGTCTTTATTCCAACTTAATGCATTACAGTTCCAAATCCTCAGAAAATCTTAGAAGGTGAAGATGCCTCTAATTTAGATGCCTCTAATTTTCTGTCCCTGCAGGAGCTTAGTATGGAAATGTATTCAGTGTGGCTGGTCTTTTCATTGTAGCCTGGAAACAAATTCATTTTTGTTTTTCTGAGTGAAGACGTTCAGTGTAGGTGATGTTAATACAGTGCATGATAGGAATGAAATATCTTCTGCATTGCATTCAGCAGAAAGTACGGCAAAACAAAGTACAAATTTCTGAATGCTCGTCATTAAAGAATTACTAAAAATGTTAGGAGCTGTATGTAAATACCAGTCTGCTTACTGTGTTTAGAAAAGCAGGGAATTAAATCGCGTTTATCTAATCATGAATGCAGTCCGTATCGTCTCATAGTAGTGTATTGTAGCATCACCTCCTTCCTCTTCTGACATTGTTCTACAAAGTATTTTTTTGCTTGCCCCTCTTTCTTTTGCCATGGTTTTTTTAAAAAAAGGAGAAGAGAGCCTAAGGAAAAGCAAACTTGAAGCAAAATAAGAGTTTTAAAGGGATCATATTTTGAAGTGCTTAACTTAAAGTAACAAATGTCAGCAAGCGGCAATCCTGGTAGCTTTGTAGTCCAGTCTCAGTATCCTGACAGAGATGCCCAAGCATTCTCCTGTCCTGCATGCTGGTAAGCAAGATCACATTGTTAGAGTTCAGAACAGAAAACAGGAAGGTCTAGATTTTAAGTAGATTAAATTCTAGAGAATGAATTCTGATCCGTCTTTCATATCATTTTACTCCTGTAAGTATAGACAATATCATACATAGAAAAAAAGCTCAAGGCATACCCTGAGTAGAAATTAATTATCACTCCCCCCAGATGACCCTTTTATATACATGCTGTGTAACCTTTCCAGTCCTCCAGTTAATTTGTCCCAAGAGGCTGATTGTACTTGTAACAGACTTGTTTTCATTTAGTTTCTGCTCTTCTAAAACTGTTTAGCTTATTTCATTTTATATTTGCTAGCAAAAGCCCTTCTTCTCTCCTGTTTTAAATATATTCATAGCTGGTAACAACTAAGCAAATACAGGCACTTTTGAACTGTTTGATGACTAAAAGCATAGCTTTTGTAGATTTCTATATCTGACAGAACTAGAAGCACTAGTTGGCGAAGATTTTGCAAAGACAAAAACTGGAATTTGTGTACCGTTAACTGTTCTATTCAGCATTGTTCTGATCAATTCTAGTATTTGGCCACAAATTTTTAATTTTATTTTACTATATTTTTATAGCCTAGATTGAAGTAAGTTCTCAGCTTCATAATATCAAATAACAGACAAACCGCTTACAGAAGATGTTCTTAATGTTCTGATAGTAATGCATTAGGCAGCAATACCCTTAGCACCCGGGTCTGACTGTAAACGAATTGTTCGCCTGGTGACTTTTTTCCACCCAATCTATTTGTAATAGATATAAAATTTAAGCTTATACAATCTGTTTCATAGGTTTTGCTCAGATACTTCACACATTATTGTGTAAGTATGTAATATTGTGCCATGTGCAATTTTTTTATCTGTGTTTCTTTTTCTTGCAGGTTTGTGTATTAGACCTACGGAAATAGTGCTATTAGTTGGAAGCCATGGACCGACTATGAATGTGTACATAGCCAAAATGACTGTCCCTGACCCATGTACTGCTATAGTCCCAATTGAACCATGGCCAGTCCACTACAGCCAAACATAAAAGAAATATATACATATACTGTATATAAAAAAAGAGGGAAAAAAAAAAAAAAATTACACCCTGAAGAGGATGACAGAGTTTTGTCACAGCTTGTGAATCCTGTTCACCAAGTGCTGGAATCTGCTGTGCCCCGAAATAACATTTAAAGGTTTTGGATATGAAAAACAGAAGAGAGAGAGAGAGAGAGAAATATACCATATACAAGAGCAGACCCATATACATACCAAATTCAGAAGATATTAATGGCAGCCTTCATTACCCCTTCCCCCCTTTAAATCCATTATGACAGTGGATTGTGGGGTATTTTTGTTTTCCTTCTTAGTAGTTGAGCAGTTTGTGTGTACAGAGAAAATGGACTTACAGAAATCTGCAGCAGTAGTATTTTCTTTGCTTTTAAACATTGGGTTTTCTGGTTTGTTTTGGTTAAGTTTATGGATGCATGAAGTAAGGGAGTGAATTAGTTTCTTGTTTATATTTTTTTCACCTTGGAAAAAAATGTTTCTTTGAAACATCTTTTAATGCATTCTTTGAAGAGTTAGATTGAACCTGATACTGTTTGGTACATTTTGTGGCTCCCAGAGCACAGTTTTGCGAACAGAGGGAGGGTGGAAAAGGGATTATGGAGACAGAAGAAGAAAAAAAAAAAAAGAAAAAAGAAATCCTGCTTCAAGGCGTAAAATTTCATGTCCTGCTCATCTACAAAGTATGACAGTAATGGGTATGATGCTATGTTTTATTTTCTGGTGACATGGCTGAAATGCAGTAGTTTCTTATTGGAGGTATAATTCTGCCAAATTTAAGAGTAGAAGGGCACAAAAATACAGAAACAAAAAATACAGGGATGCAAAAAAAACCCCAACAAACAAAAAGGAAAAAAATGCATCTTCTGTGGCTTTAAGACCGTAGCTAAAGTATGGTTAAATTGTGCACTATTGTGAGAAGGAGCAAAGTGTAGCTGGGGGATTGTTTTTCAGAGTCTAAGATCTTTCTGGACAAGGGTTCATGCCACAGCTTCTTTGAGAGTTGCCCATCATTATTTGTAGGAGCTTAGATGTATAATTGTAACCGAACTCCAGTATTAAAAGTATCTCATGTAATTTTTCTTTATTAAAATAAAATCTTTGGCATATATTTGATAACACTGCCATTAAGAGGCAAAATGTTTACTACCTTAGATTTAAAAAAAAACCCCAAACTTAAACAGAGGACTTGCTTCAAGTTTATTTTAATAGCAGTGATTCAGCTTATTTAAAAGATGAATACTTGCACTAATTCCCCTGCTGCTCCAGTCCTGCAGTTTATTGTATCTTGTGACTACATTTTTTTCCAAATATAGGGTAGATGTAAGCTGCTATTTTTTTAATAATCACTACTATATAGTGTCTTTTACTCTGTTTACAATATCAAGTATTTTTCTTACAATGACAGATGTATATGGCAAACCTTTTTCTGCTCATGTGATTAAAAGTATACTGATAGTGATTTTATTTGTAAATGATAGCATGAGGTTGTGTTTACGCGTACGTGTAGTTGAAAAGGTTGCATCATGTCTTGCATAAGATTCCAAGAGTGTAAATTTATAAAAAGAGAGGTTGTCAAATTTATGTCACAGGAATTTTACTTAAGGAATGGTTTATATTACAGAGCTTTGCAAAGTTATCAGTTTTATAACACTATTTCGATCACAAATGATTTTGTGGCTTATGATTGCGAGTCTCTAACCTATTTTTTTGTTTTGGTTTCATTTTTCTTCCCTCCAAGTTAGGTACAAATTGATATAATTGAGGTAATGCAGCTTTGACATTTTAACCATTGTTCTTTAGGCATTGATTTCTGCTATTTCATGGAATAAAGACTACTTGAAGCAAGTCTGAGTTTGGCTAAGGTAGGGTAGCAATTTGCCAGCGGTAAAGAGAAGTCAACAAAATACATTCTTTATATATACCCCAGGATTATAATACTATCATACACAGCATTTAAAACCAACAAAAAGTCATATCCATAAAGATGGTCACCTGTGGTGGTTCAGTGCCAGCTATTTTTAGGGGTTTGGAACATATTACAAGTGTTTAGAGCAATTACCCTGTGAGTTACAATATGTAGGTAACCTAATATATTGAGTGTCTGGCACTTGAAATATTGCTTTTATTGCTGGAGGTCCATGACTGTGGCTGACCTCTGTCATTTAATGAAAAAAAAAATAAAAATAAAAAAAAAATAAATCTGTGCAATAATTTTAAACTGTGCTCCCAGGAATAGACACAAATGTTTTGCGTATGTTTAAGCTGCATTTTTCGTTTAGCAATGCATTTGTCAATTGCACTGAATTTAAATTTGAAAGTCAGAAGTGATTCTTGATAGTACTTTTTTGTATTTTAATATGGACAGTTTATTCATTTTCATACAAGTTACTGGATAATTCTTTCAGCCAATCTAAACAATTGTGGTGGAATTCTGTGACATAGCTGCAAAATCACACAGCCATGTTTTTTAGGGTATTGCCATTTTCCTCTTTCTCAATCATCAGCTGTTTTGGTTGTAATTCTAGTTGCTTAAGCATAGTATCACATATTCAGAAATAGGTAAAACAGAGCTTCAGTCTCGCAGGCCCAGGGTTTTCAAGTGCTTGAAACACAGTCCAGCAGAAATGTCAGATCTGTTGACTTGAGTGCTCTGGACGTGCAGGTGGAGACCCCCAACCTGGTGTTAATCCACAGTGCCCCACTGTAGTGGAATGATGCCAGTTTCCACTAGCAGAGGATCTGGCCAATAGGTATTTTATTGTTGTCCTTTACTAGCATGCCACAGTGCTGCTCCTGCTCACACCTCTTCTCGCCTCTTGTTTTATACACTGCTAAATGCATGCATGCAAGGTGTGCTAGGTTCTGTGATTACGTGAAGCAAAACAAAAAAAAAAAGCAAACCATGACATTAATTATTATCTTTTATAGCACAACGGCCTCGTCTTCAGTAGTGAGGTGGACTGTCCAAATTGTTCCTTTAAATTGGGCATGCCAAATGTCAGTGAGACCCTGACTTTGTATAAACGTATGCACATGCTTAGTCTTACATACCAAGTAATTCTGTCTTGCCTGTTTCCCAGATATAAAGGCAAACGTGTGCATAAGCCTTTTGCATACATTATAGTTCCTATTCTTTCCAGTTCAAGTCATTAATGGGCAAACACCTAAATAGAGGGTAAAAGGAAGGGGGAAATCCGGGCTCAGAATTAATGATGGAATAAGAAATGAACTACACTCGAGTTCCCTGTCTTTCTATGCATCCATCTCAGAATTCCATTTCTTGTTTCTGCAGAATTAGGTCCAGGTTTCTGTAGAGTTCCTCTTTTTCTATTTTTACTTTACCTTTTTCTGCATTTTTAAATTGATGTAAAGATTCCCAACCAGTGGACTTTTTAGTGTAGTTAAGAGAATATCTAGGTCCTCATAAAAGCTTTTTTAGACTCTTTGTAATGTTGATAAACGCAGTTTATTCTCGGGCTACAATTGTGCAGGGTTATTTAGCATGTCTACTAGATGATTGGAAATCTTATATGAAACACTAAAAGTGCCTCTTTTTCTGGGTTGGGTGGAGGGAGGTAACAGTTACCAGAGTTAGAACGACATGGCATTTTGAAGCATGTTTCTTGATTTCATGACACTTTAATGCATCTTGAGAGAAAGGCCAAAGATTTCTACCAATTTTAATTAAATTTCATTTTGAAAAGCACTCCTTTTTCCTTACACTGCTTACCTCATGCTAGGGTATTTAACAGGACATTGTACCTTCACAGTGTTCTTTGTGTTTAGGAAGAATAGTAGGTGGCATAGGACGGTTGTGCCAGTTTGCCTACGGAGCAGTCTTAGCAGCTGATGCGTTCAGTTCTGCTGAATGAAGGAATTTCATACAAATTGCAAATTGGTTTTTTCAGCTTGTAAATAGAAGGTTGTATGTTTTTGTCTGTTTAGCAAAGAGGAGCCTTGGGACCCAATTTTTTCCAATCTTTACTTAACCAGAGATCCCATTGTCTTTCCCCTCATGAGACTTGCCAGCCTTGGCATTGCAGGCATTGGGTCTGTGTAACATTGCACAGCATGCTGCACAGGTGAAACGAGCCACATCTCGCTCAAGCCAGGACTCCCCTTGGCTTTGGTGAGGGTTTTGCCACAGCAGGGTCTGCCAGATTTAGCCCAGTGTTCCTTTTTCACTGACAAGCGTGAGTGCTTCTCCCTTCACTAAGTCCTGTAGAGCCATTGCCCAGTGGGATCAGTTTCACACTCTCCAGAAGTCTGAAGAAAGCAGAAGCAACATTGTGGCATGTTAGAAGCAAATATGGCTTTGGGAGACAGCAGTAAAGCTCCATCAAGATCCCTGACATGTTCCGTAGGGAGAGAGCAGTGGCACAATCCTCGCTTCTCCTTCTAGAGAAAGCTCTGAAATATCACATTCTGTGAAGGCGTGATGGTCTTTACTGTCAGTCCAATGGAAGGCAGATAAACCAGGAAAATCTGCCATTCATTTCTTGTGGATTGCAGATTTAGTGTTAGTAGTGCTTCAGATCAGTAGTTTTGAGTACATAATTCGCTTTCTCGGCCTTTAAGTTTGAAGCTTGACAATAACTTGAGGCATGTTTTTGTTTTATTTTCTTTTTTAAATAATCATTCATTCTTATTTCATAATGTTTTTTGACATTTGTGAGTAAATACAAGAAAACAGTCTGCATGTTGTTGCTAGTCCAGTGTACTTTGCAATCTTGTCCTCAACAGACTGCAGTGTGCAGAACAGTAATTCTAGAATACAGAAGTAATTTTCTCTCTCTCCTGACATTGACATTGTAGTTGTAATGGTTTCATTTGGAGTTACAAATCCTTTGGGTCTAATTCTGTGAGCCTACCTATAGCACTGGATTAAAATGTCTGCATCATTTCTTCAGTTATCCAGTTAAATTACAACTGTTGTAAAAGTGTAAACCAGCCCATGACAGTTTTTTGTACTTGTTTAAAGGACTTTTATTGTTCAGTTTTCATGATTATTGTCTAAAGAAGACTGATATAGATGTTCTATACTGTCCTGGACCATGTTAATTACACTTTATGATGTATTTTGGTTCTACATCACAATGATTTGTCCCCAAGGCCCTTATATCCCTTCTAGGCACATTTTCTGTTGCAGTTTCCCTTTGCATTGTATTGCTTTGACAACTGTAATTTGAATCAGATCTGAAAGAGGTCCAGAATAAAATATATTTTGATATTACCTTGCCTGTATGTTATATACCAGTAGCTTCAAATGCTCGGTACAGAAGATTTACGGATTAAGTTGGAGAAGCGACAGACTATAACACTGGTTTTAATACTTGGTTTGGCACATTTTCACCTGCAAGAATATGTAAGTAGTGGGAGGTAATACATTGTATAGCTATGTACTCTTTGTGAGCACGCACTAGATCCTCTGAAACAGTGGAGCTATCCTCTGCCACCATTTACTGCTGTGCGTCTGATTCAGGCGAACTGAATTCTCCTATGTGCATTTTATGTGTTTCATCTTCTCTCTACCCACGCACTTGTGGAAGAGAAGCTGAGTCTAGTAATACTCGCAGCTAAACTCCAGCTATTCAGAAGGCAT